GGGGACTGAAGAGGGCCATTCCATTTTCCAATCATCCTCGGAGGGGCCATTCTATTAGAGAGGGTCATTCAACTGGAGGGCTCTTCTATTATGTATGTAGAGGAAAATACGGTATTTCCAAAAGAATATTTGTTTTTTCAAATCTAACAAAATCATCAAGGTCCATTCATTTTCATCAAGTCATAGCAAAGTGCAATAAATTTAATTTTTTAATTAAATTAATTTTGGGGCAGAAATATGTAAATAAAATATTTATTTATGGCAGAATTTTAATTCTAATTTTTAGCGTGCAGGTTCATTTTCTTTCACTGATATGGTTCATTTTACTAAACTTTGGATTATTTTTAAGGGAAAAAAGAGATTTTAAGCCAGGCTTAGCAAAAAGTTTTTTGGTTCAAAAAAGGAGAATTCTCTCTTTTTTAGCAATAATTTTGAAAATAAAAAAAATTGTTGATGATTTAATGCAAATAAACTTAAGCTTTCTGGTTCAATATCAACCTTACACAATAACCAAACTAAGTTTCTTGGCCATATAAATATTCCAGCCATTTCCAGCAATCAACATAAAATACAGTCATAACTCACTTTAACAAATACCCAATACTAGTTACACCCCCAATACTAGTTACACCCCAATTTAAGCCTGTCTACTGAATTTGAGTAAGCCACTATCTTGGTGAAGCTGCTTAAGCGATACTCCATTATTTAAGATGAACCTCATTATCATTGCTTGAAAATTTCAGAATTGCTCGTACTTCGTACGTGCTTTTCTTAGCTTCGTTCTTCGTACTGCCATATTTTTTTGCTTGTACTCGTTTTAGTACACAAGTACGAGTACGAATTTTGGCACGAGCTTCCAAGCACCTCATTATATTATACTATTTTTGGCACAAAAGGTCCATCTTATAGTGAGGTCAGACTGTATAAAATCAAATTTCGTTTGTATTTCCATTTTTTCCCTCTCACCAAAATTTCCCGACTTATAACGTTTATTAAGATATTGCTCAGTTGTTGCGTTTTTAGCAGTTTGGTGATTTTGGGACTATCTCTACGTATGAAACAGTTGATGATCCCGAAGTGCGATCCTCAACATTTGCAACAACTAACGTTAGATGTTTGTCTGTAAATACCTTTATCGGTAATACCGAAAAATACCGCGGTAACGCTAGTAAATACGTCTAAAATTTGGAATTTTTGTGAGAAAGGAGAAAAAAGGGAAATACATGCCAGGGATCTAGCCGACATAAAAATAATTCACGATTTTTGGGAATAAGGACGGCTAGATCCCTGATAGACTCAAAAATTTAACCAAAATAATTTCAAAATATTTATTAAATGGCTTATTTAAACATTTTTCTTCTTCTATTTTTATTTTCAAATTTTTGCTTATTATTTCAATTAACATATGGAAATAATGTTTCGGAGAGTTTGGGAACTTGTCTTGATAAAAATGCACCTGGGTGTAACACTAAAGATAAAAGATGCTGTGCTAAATTGGATTGTAAAACTACAGGAAGTGGCGGAACCAATTGTAGACCTTATGGCTGTGTTAAGAATGAAGGTGACTCTTGCGATTGGTTACCAGAATCTAAAAAATGCTGTTCTGGCCTATATTGCTCTTTCACAGAAAAAAAATGTTATACGTGCCTTAAAGAACTTGATCCTTGTGGTGGTGATTTGAAAAATTTTGAATGTTGTGATGAGAAGAATTTCTACTGTGATGGAGGTCACTGCACTAAGCGTAGTAAAGGAGATAAAAATTGAAAATTTGAAACTCGCTGGTGGCGATGGCGCATTAAATTTGAAATGATATGATGTTAAAATGTTAACGATTTCTGTCAATTTCCCGGGTACATCCCAAGTACCGCAAAGCAGTAATTTTATTCAAAATTGTCGAATCCGAGACACCCTGGTAGGGTTTGATTTGACTCGTCGAGGCCCATAGAACCATACGAGGGCTTCCCTGATTCGACAATTTTGAACGAACTTAGGTATGTCTTTGCGGTACATTGGCATGATCCCCAATTTCCTTTTCCTTTTTTTAAATTCTATAAAAAAACTTTTTTCTCGCTTTGTATCTTTATACATAGTTGTGTTGGATAAATAATCAAATTTCTTTGTAATAACCCTTTTTTTGTGCAGAATTCAGAAATAATTAAGGCATCAATCACTGCTGATTATATCAAATAAAAAATTTTTTTGATAATAATAAAAAATCTATGAGATTGTTAGATATATTGGTCTAGTGATGTACCGGTACTTTATTAATATCCCGCCCCCCACACCTATTTGAGTCTCAGATTATTTTTCCCTTTTTTTACTGTCAATCATTTATTCCTCTCCTTTTCTAATGCCAATCATTTTCTTCCCTCGAATATTATAAGTAAAAGGCAAGTTAGAAACTTAAGATATTTGAGGAGTACATCCCTGGCCCAAAGCCATAACCTTCTGTAATATTTTTGACCCTTGTCATTTTTGTTATTAATCTCTTTAGCTCGATGAAAGGAATCGTTTAATATTAATTTTTGTAAGGTTCGGAAACTTTGAAGCAAGTTATGGCTTTGCGCCTTTATGGCCGCGCGCCCTTCTGGGTGTCTTATATTTGAGGGAAGAAAATGATTGGCATTAAAAAAGGAGGAAAAATAAATGATTGGCAGGTAAAAAGCAAAATTAATTCGAGACTCAAATAGGGGTGGGGGCGGGATATTAATAAAGAACCGATGTACCTAGTTAGTTATCATTATCTATTTTTTAGATAATTTTAAAATGAATAGAATTTAAAATACACCTCATTATAGAGTACACTCGATATAAGATAAAACCCCTATCTTTTTAAATTTGGTTGATCATTGAGTGGGGGAGGATATCAAACGATACCCTCTATTTAATATACACCTCATTAAGAGATAAAAATTTTTAGCCCCATGGGTTTACCTTAAATGAGCTCTGACTACCGTATATACTCTATTAATTACCCTCCCTCAAATAAGTTACTCTCCTTACCTAATAAGTTACCCTCATTACCCTCCAAATAAGTTACCAAATAAGTTATTACCCTCCCCAATAGACCTTTATTAGTTACCCCTTCCAGCGAAAGGTTAAAAAATAACTACTCCCTTAAAACTACATTGTTATAATTAGCCTTTCTAAAATAATCTCTATTAATTACCCCGCCTCTATCGATTACCCTCTCCAGAGAGAGGTTGAAACAATAATTACCCAGGGTAATTAATAGAGTATATACGGTATATTTCATTTTTCAAATTTAAATTTATTTTGAATAAAAATTTAAAATTTTCTTTGTATAAAATTGTGAAAGCTATACAAGTATATAAGTATATTATAAATATTTCCCCTTTTGTGCCCTTTTTGTGCGGCGCATAGATCAATAGTATATTTTAGCATTTTCATGGATTGAATGGATATTTATTTTTTCAATTCTGCTTTCAACTGAAGAATGCTTTTTTTTATTTAAAAAAATTTTCTGCTTGTTTTAATTGTTGTGTTATACTATTAAAAAATTGAGGAATGCATTGAGGAATCAGATCTGTATTTCCGGTCTGAAAAAAATTTGGGCATCCGGAACTTTTCGATTTAGATATCCGATACCAGATATCCGAAGATTTCCCTAGTCCATTAAACCTGCTTTATACCTGCCTATATGTAGTTTCCTCTTACACCGGTACAAGTACAAATTTTTGTATGAGCTTCCAACTATTACCTATATTTTTCAAAAATTTATGTCAAGATTGGCATTTAATCATTAAATATTTTTTTCTTTTTTTATTCTCAATGTTCATTTAAAATTTTTAAATAATTTTTTAAAATTTAAACATTTACCAAACATAAAAATGTTCGTGACTATTTATTCAGGTTTTTACATTAGAGTACATTTTTACTTGAGAAAATATTTATTTTTTATTTTTATTTATTTGTCTGGTCATCCAAAAATAAAAATAATTTTTCTTCCCTCTTCCCTTCGTTTTCTATTCAAATTTTGACCAACAAAAGAAAATTATTGGTTTAACTAAAATTTCTCACATTTTGAAAAATCAATTTATATTTATTTCATTAACTGACCAAAACTAGTTTTTATTATGTAATTTTATTTAAAAAAGATTATTTTTTTAAAAAAATCGCCTTATTTTTACATATCTTTTTTATACATATAATCTGGAATTTTATTAAATAAACATCAAATAATATTATTATTTTTTCCGGAAATTATATTTAGAGACCGACATTTAGAATCAGAATTAATATTCACTTTCTATCACTGACCATTGTAGTTTCCGGAAATATCATTTAAACTTAAGTTTACGGAAAATATTATTTAAATATAGAAGTTTCCGGAAAATACATATTACTTAAAAATAGAAGTTTCCGGAATATTATTTAAATATAGAAGCTTCCGGAAATATTACTCAAAAATAGAAGTTTCCGGAAATATATAAAATATTTTCCGGAAATATTACTTAAAAATAGAAGTTTCCGGAAATATTATTTTCCGGAAATATTACTTTCCGGAAATATCATTTAAAAATAGAAGTTTCCGGAAAATATTTTCCGGAAAGTAATATTTCCGGAAAATAATATTTCCGGAAAATATAGAATCAGAATTAATTAGAGAAACAATTAATTGTTTTCCGGAATAGAAATATGTACATATAATTCTGGTATATTTATTTATCAGAAATGTATTTTTCCGAAAGTTATAATATACCATGAATCTACTATTTAGTATATTCCGGAAAGCTTTAATAGTTCCTGTAATTTATTCTAATTTTATATTTTCCGGAAGTAATTTTTTATAAATACTATTTCCGGAAACTATGTAAATAATAAATTTTGTCCGCAAAAATTATCCGCAAATAGAGTAGAAAGTAAGCCTAAATACTGATGGGCCTCATAAACTGGACAAGTTTTGTAATATTCGTAATAGATAAAGACATGAAAATTTCTGATATTTAAAATATTTTTTTCCAAAATTTTTTCAGTCAATGCTACGAAAGAAATTTGAATATTTTTCTAATTTTATTTTTACCCATCCAGCAATTATTTGTTCTTTTTTATTTATTTTTGCCTTTATTCTTCCAATTATTTTGTTGTTTGTTTTCCCTCTTAGATTAGGGAATAATCCGGAAAAGGTAATAAAATTAATTTTTGGTGTTTTTTGAAGCAATTTAAGAATAAAAGTCGTCAATCCCGGAGAATAGGGGTTTCTTCGAAAAAAAGTTTAAAAATATGTAAGAAAAAGGATTTTTCTAGGGTAAAAAAATATGCTGATTACAAATCCGATTGCCTAAAAGTCTGCAAAAATTTTTTTGGTCCGCAAAAGTTATCCGCAAAAAATCTCGTGTCCACAAATATTAGTCTGCAGAAAATTTTTTATCCGCAAAAATGGGTAAAAAATCCGCAAAAATAACACTTTCTTTTTTACACCTTTAATTTTTAATTTTATAAAATTTTTCCTCAAAATTTCTAGGGATTCGAAACAGACGGAACAGAATATTCCAAAACTCGTTTAACTTGGGCTCGTTTACAGGTGTGTTTATTAAAATGATTTTTTCCCAAAAAAATTCTTTTAGCCTTATCTCCTTCAAGGCAGCCAAGTTGAATTTAATTTAGAAAATGAACAAAATTTACAAAAAAGAATAAATAAACGTTCATGGGCTAATGATTTAATTAATTCTATGTTTAGTGCTGTTACTTGTTATGATGAACCTATACCTGCAAGTAGAAATAAAAAATTTTTGAATTTAATGAAATTTCTAGATTCCCTTTATTTAAAATAATGGAATACTATCGGGCCTCTATAAGTCCGCAAAAAAAATTTTTTGTCCGCAAATGTTGTCCGCAAAAAAAATTTTTTTGTCCGCAAATGTTGTCCGCAAAAAATTTTTTGTCCACAAACATTAAGATTAGGTTGTCTACTGGGTGGGGGAGTTGCCTATTCTATAAACTCTCTATTTTAAGGGTCTCATTATAAGCTACATTTTTCAGCCAGAAACCCTAATAATCCGCAATTTTTGTCCGCAAAATTTTTATTGCAAATGTTGTCTGCAAAAAAATTTTTCGTCCACAAACATAAAGATTAGATTATCCACTGGATGGAGGAGTTGCCTAATCGATAAACCCCCTATTTAATGGTCCCATTATAAGATACATTTCTCAGTCAGAAAAACCTGATAATCCGCAATTTTTGTCCGCAAAAGTTTTTTTATCACAAAAATATATACGCGAACAATAAATTGGCTGGTCTGGCCAAATTAACTTTAAAAACAGAATTTAAAAAAAAAATATTTTTCAGTGTCTTTTCTCTCACAATTTGTTATTGAAATAGCCGACAAAGACTCATTATTCTCCCTAGAATTTATTCAACAATTATGTTCATTACAACAAAAATTATTTTTGTTTAGTTTAATTTTTAATTTAGTCAAAATTTTTTTTGAATTTTAAGTGAATTATCCTCTTTTTCGAGTTTTACTTTATACAAAAATATTTGGAGTTGGTCCAATTTTGTTAATTGTTTAGCTCCTAATCAGCGAGATAATTGTTCTCAAATTAATGAGGAGGATGTTAATAGCTTTAAAAATGTTGGTTTTTAAGTTGTTGTTAGTAGTTGATTTTTTCTTTAAAAATTTTAGAGATTTTTCGAATGGTACATTAAGTTTGGTATAAGTATATTTATGTATCACCGATTTAGTATCACTGATTATTTCTGATTTTGGAAATTGGGAAAATTTCATTCATTTTTTAACTTTATTCGGAGATCGTTTCCAAAAACGCCGGGAAAACGTTTAGAGATAATATTTTTGATATCCATAACAATCTAAATTTAAAAAAGCGCATCCTTATTATCCTTTATCTTCGGATATATGCGAATATCAGGATATTCTTTGTATTGATCGGCAAAGTCGGATCCCATCCCGAAAATTACTTTAGTTCCCTTGTTTTTTAAGTTTGAGCCTATCTTTCTTCAATATTGACTTTCAACTCATCTCAATAATTTCTTTTTGAATGGCACCCCACCGGTCTAAATTTTCGAAAAAAAATTTTTTTTAAGAGAGGGACATGTTCTAAAAACCCTAAGCTTTAATTTTTAATAAATTTTTATTTATTTATTTAATTTTTAAATTAAAAAGATTTTCTTCCATCACTGCCTCCCTCATCGCCAAACAATTTTGGATTGTGGCCGTATTTGTGGCCAAATAAAATCCTCAATTTCTGGAAATATTTTAAATACTAGTCAGCGTCAAAAAAGAGAATTTACTTCTTCAAATAATTTATTTGAAGAATTTATTGAAGAAAAAAATAAATGTTTTCAACTTGAAATTTGTTTAAAAATTCCGAAGGAATGTAAAGGGCAAATGTGGTAATTTTTGAAATTATATTCTTTCAAATGTTCCAAAAATATAGTCAAATCTAGTTGTAGTATACGCCAGGGATCCTGCCGACAATAAACTAAAATTCCCGATATCGGGAAATCCGGATCCCGACCCAAAAAACGTCAACAAATCCCGATTTATGGGAATCGGGATGGAGGATCCCTGGTATACGCCCTTGTGGCGGAAAAACCCATTACTAAAATTATTTGTTGTTCGCTATAGTGGAGACTTTTCCCCTTACCCATTGGCTATTGAGGTTAGTGGATCATGTGAAATCTTCGGATATACGGGCTTTTTTTGACTATTTAGAAATTAGAAAATTAGACTGCATTTCTTCTAATAGAATGCCCCCGCCTTCAATTATAATACCCCCCCCCCACTCTCTTCAATAGAACACACCTCTGGAGGATGATTGAAAAATACAATGCCCTGGCTTTCTATTAGATGAAATACTCTATTAAAAAAAGCAAATAAAATTTTAATTAAATTATTCAATATTTTTAAAATCTAGGTTTGATTTGTTTTACCGCATTTTGCCAGAAGATGTTTACTCTAGACCGGTATTTTCTTTAATTTAAAATTAATTTTTTTAATTAAAAAAAATTTTTTTAATCCCTTCAAGTTATTTCTAAACAATTTTTTGCCTTTCTATACCTTTGCTGCATACCGGTTACAAGGAATTAGTGTCCCTTTAAATTTATTTGTTAATTTTGAATTTAAATTGAAAGAAATTGCTAAAGAAAAGGATACTTTATTTGAATTAAAAGGTGATTTTTTGAAAAATTTTTGGAGTGATTTAAGGGAAAAATTTTTTTGAAAGGTCTCTCCCTCGATACTAAACGAGATTTACTTTTGGAAGCAGCTTTAAATGATTCTAAACTAACTCTAATTTCTGCTTCTATTGTTTTTGCGTTGCTAGCAATATATTCGTTAAGCATTGTTTTTGCTTTAATTGTTTCGTTACAACTTGCTAGTTCTGTTTTTATTTCTTTGGCTATATTTAGATTGTTTATTTCGGTAGGTTAATTTAAAAATTAAACTTTTCCATAATTTGTAAAATTAAACCTTTTCAGAATTAATAAAATAATAAGCTTTTTCAGAATATAAATAATAAACTTTTCTCAAAATTTGTAAAATTAAACCTTTTCAGAATTTTTTAAAAAATAAACTTTTTTTAGAATTTCTAAAAATAAACTTTTTTCAGAATTTCGTAAATTAAACTTTTTCAGAATTAAAAAAATAAATAAACTTTTTCAGAATTTATAAACCTAAACTTTTTCAGAATTTTTTTAAAAATTAAACTTTTTCAGAATTAAAAAAATAAACTTTTTCTGAATTTCGAAAATTAAAACTTACTAAGAAATTTTTAGAAAATAAACTTTTTCAAAATTTTTAAAAATAAACTTTTTCAGAATTTCCTTTTATTTTTTAGTCAGAAATACCAGAATTAAATTTAATCTCTTTTGTTCTGTTAATTTCTGTCGGTTCTGATGGGGCGTTTCTTTTACTTGATGTTTTTCCTGCCCCAGAAAGGCTTACACCAACAACATTAAATAAAGCATTAAAACATATAGCAAAAACAATGTTTTTAACACAATTCTCCACAGTTATTCCGTTTATGTTAAATTTATTATCGAGTGTTTATGCCTTTCGGTGTGTATTTTAATTAAAAATTAATTTAAATTTTTCTGTTTAATTTTTAGTAGTTTTGGTTTATTTGCTGGATTAACTTTAATTTTCAATTATTTTTTGCTTGTGACCTTCCTTCCAGCATTTTTAGTTTTGCAAAGTCGTTGGCTTAATCCTTGGTGAACTTGTTTAAAAATTATTTTAATCTTAAAAATTTTTTCCTTTAATTTAATTTAATGATAGGTTAAAAATACAAAAAATAAACAAATATCCTATAAAAATAAAATTTTTTGATAACTTTATCAGGAATGGGCCGGGAGTTACCGAAGCTCGATACGTTTTAAACTCTCAGACTTTTTTCTCTCAATCCGGCCTCTTTTTGAGGAAACCTTTGGTTAAGGAAAAAGGGCCTCTTGGTTGAGGAAACCTTCAACCCCTCTCCTATACACATCCTCAAAACCATCCTCAACCTGGGCTCAAAAATACCATATCTCAACCCGGCAACAACCCAGCCTATCAACCTTAAACGTCCTAGTCCCCTCTCGGATTCTAAATTAAAAATAATTCTTTATCAGGTTTGTCCGTTGGTGGCCAAGTCGTTGTTGGTATTGCTTTTCGGGTATAGGCGGAGGATATTCTGGCACTTCTCTTCCTCTTGGAGGGATTAAACAAAAGTTTCTTCTTAAAATTTATTTTTAAATTTCCCCTAAATTTAAAGCCAACAGCACCAAAATACTCGTTGTTCTCCACTCTTATTTAAATTCCCAACAAATTGGCTAGAACGTTATAGACATTTTAATCGTCTCGTTTTGGACGATATATTGCCTTCAGTATTAATTCAAGGAAGATTTGTATGGCTCGGATCTTTGTTTATATTTTTTGGAAGTAAATTGGAAATTTTTGAAATTAAATTAAAATTTAATTTAAGTCAATATTTATTTAATTTGCACTCAATTGTCTCTACCTCGTTATAATCCACTACAATTATTTAGAGCGTCTAATACTCATGAATTTTATGATCAGGTGTGGTCTTAAGAATTTTTTAAAATATTTATTTAGTACTGATTTTGCTGAGATCAGAAGTAAAGTAGTGAGGGAGTCTAACCAGGCTAAAAGCCCAGAGCTGTTCGAGACCGAAAATTTTCCAAAAATTAAGACTGCGCTTAAAGGCACCCCAAAAAACAAGTAAATCTTGTAAATCAAGGCTCATGACCATGAGTCTTAGGCATCTATAAAAAAAACCCTTCGGGCCGAATTATAATATAAAATTAAAGTAACCTAAGGGGGATGTCGTTATTGAGAGATTCCACCAAATTATAATTTATCCTCACTATACGATATGACACTTTTTGGCCCTTCCCTTGGGTATAATTGGAGGTATTTTAAATAAATTGTATATGATATTGGAGGGTATTGCTTAGGCAGATTTTCTATTAACGAATAATAAATTCAATTTTTTGACAGAATGCCGAACAACTCTACCCTTTTATTGCTGATAAAATAGGTGAATTACCCTTCTCAATTCGCCTTGTATGGGGCATTCAACTAATTAACAACAATGATACATCTTTGTCTAATTATTTTGATCCAAATTCTGAGAATCAACAAAAAGAATTGCTGAAAATTGATTTAAAAAATTTTAAGATGGACACGCCTGCTCAAGTAGAAAAAATTTTTTAGATTGAAATTTAGCGCTGGCTTGATTTGGGTTAATCGGAAAAGCAACGATTGACCTCTCTAGCCTGGCCTTAATTTAATTTTAAAAATTATTTTGATTTACCGTATTTACTCGATTAATTCCTCTGGGGAATTATTTTTTCAACCCTTCCTTGTCATGGGGAATTAATCGAGGGAGGGGAATTATTCGAGTTTTGGCATTTGAACGTGCAGTAGGGTATTTGGGGGTGGGGAATTATTGTTTCAACCCAACTCTAGCATGGGGAATTAATCGAGAAAATACGGTAATCGAAAAAGCAACGATTGACCCCCCTAGCCTGGCTCTAATTTAATTTAAAAATTTTTAAAAATTATTTGATCATTTAAAATGATCATTTTCTAGTTGCAAGCATTAGCACACCAAATTTCACGACTTCAAAAGTTGAATTTTTCAAATCTTCCAGTTGGTGACAAATTTTGGCCGGAAAGGTGGAGATATTAATTTTTGAATTCTGAGAACCAAAAAAATAATTTTCAAAAATTTTTTTCCTCATTCTCCTATTAGATTTATTGAATGGACATCTTCTACAGCTTGTAATTCAACCTCAATTTCTACCTCCTCTCATTGCTGTAAATTATTTGGGAATCGAATTGCCCCAGTCTCTCCGTCTATTTTTGATCATTGTATTCGTCTTTCAACAACAATACTTCCAACAGGCTATAATGATACTTTAATTTGGGATAGACAAACTCACAAACTTGTTGGATATACTGTTTGTTAATCTGTTTTTTGAAAGAGTCATCTAAGAGTCACTAGAAAAAAATTACTCACTCTAGAGTTATCTATAGTCAGAGTCAGCTTGATAGCAAGTCTACCCGCTAGCACCTCTATCTCTCCTTAATAGTCTGGTCAGTTTGGTCCCGAGGTATTTGTTTTAACCAGATTTGACACCTATAGCTTGTCTTTCCTTATTACGTCGGCTCAAATCGGTTCCGACATAGACTTCTTATCGAGATTTGACTTTATTTATATCCTCTAATTTTTGGAGAGGAGGAGTAGAATTAATGAAACTCTGAAGTGAGGTTGTCGGGGCTCTTGTCCAGTTTATGCGTCCCATGAAAGTAGATGCGTCCCATCAACAAAAAATTGGATATTTCTTGGTGTTGCAAAGTAGGGGTATGGTTCCACAGTATTTCTTCATGTTCGGGATCTAGGTCCACTGGGTCTGGGACCGTTCCTTACCCTATCCTTCGAAATTTCTGAAAGTTATAGCCAATTTTTAAAAATTTCAGAAAAACGATTTTAACTTTCAGAAATTTCGAGGTATAGGGCAAGGAAAAGTCTCAGGCCCAGTGGGCGTAGATCCCGAACATGAAGAAATGCTTTGGAACCATACCCCTACTTTGCAACACCAAGAAATATCCAATTTTTTGTTGATGGGACGCATATACTTTCATGGGACGCATAAACTGGACAAGAGCCGTTGTCGGATAGTTAGAAATCTTCGGATATTCGGATCTAGTGTCCAAACCGAAAATTACCGAATATCCGGTCGTTTTTTCGGATCCGGATACTCTGAAGGTGTGTTACATTCTATATTAGTAAGATTTTAGTTAAAAGCCTTAATGTGCCACTCATAACTTTTTAATATAATAGTGTAACGTCGTGCATATATAAATTTAATAGGGCCGTATTGAAAGTAAAATTCTTAAAATTAAAATTTTAGGCATTATTACCTAACAAATTAATTTATTCTCATCGTTTTGCCAATTTATCCGCTTCTTTTGAATTAATAGACCAAACAATAAGGCCTATAATTGATGGAAACGAAGGTTCATTAAAGGGATGGTATACAACTGAATGGGGAGGTATTTTAACGTTTAAAAATTTTGAAAAATTTTTTCAAATTTTTCCAAGTAATATCCCAATGGTTTGATTTACAACGTTCAATAATTGAAGACTGTAAACAATCCTTTATTGTTTCTTTACTTGTTGTGCTCCTATTTTCAGCTGTCATGCTACGGTAGGATTTGATAGAAATAGGACTTGAGGATTGGGAGAGATTCGAGATATTTCTAAAAATTTTGGCCTTGGTAGCCTATGGATCTTGAAGGAGACCTCGCCTTCTGGCAATCCTCAAAAAATTTTTCCTCTCCAAACTTTAATATACATTAAAGTCTTATTGCCTAATTGACTGTAGCTACGGTAGAGTTTTGATAGAAATAGGACTTGATGATTGAGCGAGATTCGAAATATTTTAAAAAAATTTTGGCCTTGGTAGCCTATGGGTCTTGAAGGAGATCCCGTCTTCTGGCAATCTCCAGAAAAATTTTCTTTCTCTCCAAATTTTAAGATCTATTAAAGTCTTATTTAATTGACTATCTATCCAATTCAAATCTCTCTAAAAATGGCCTAAAAATTTTTTTATAAATTATTTTTTTAAGTCTAAACTCAATTTATGCAACTCTAACAATCGTTAGTATTGTATGTTGCACCCTTGGAATGTTACTTTTGCTTGGTTTAATTTTTAAAAATAATTTTAAAATTAAATTTTAAAGGTTGGGAGATTGGAGTTTTAGAAGCAGTTATTCTCGTTGTCGTTGTTGGCCTCTCATTTGATTATACACTCCATTTTGGGGCTACAATGCCGTCTAAAGGTGGTTAAATTGAAATTTTTTTAATTAAAAAATACTCAAAGTTTGTCCAAAACATGCTTTACAAATGGCAATTCGTGGAGCAATTAGGCCTATTTTAATGTCAACTGTCTCGAGTATTCTTGCCGGTGCTGTGATGCTTTTTGCTGAGACACATGCGTTTTTTCAAGTAGTAGAAAATTTTTAATAGGGTTTATATGTGAATTTTTTGTCATTGAAATTCTGATGTTTGTTTAAAATTCTGATTTTTAAAATTATAATGTTTGTTTGAAATTCTGGGTTTGAAAATTCTGATGTTTGTTTGAAATTCTGATTTTTAAAATTCTGTTTTTTTGTCTAATTCTGAATGTTCGTTTAAAATTCTGATATGTTTATTTCAAATTCTGATATGTTTGTTTAGGATTCTGATTTTTAAAATTATGATGTTTGTTTAAAATTCTGATTTCTAACATTCTGAATGTTTGCTTAGAATTCTGATATTTATTTAAAAGTCTGATGTTTTTAAAATTCTGATTTTTATAATTCTGATATGTTTATTTAGACTTCTGATATGTTTGTTTAAAATTCTGATATGTCAAAACTTTAATAAAATTAATTTAATTTTTAAAGGTCGGAATTTTCCTTGTTGTTTGCAGTTCGTTAAGGTTTTCTCGAATTTATTTAAAAAATAAATTTAAAAAATTTATTTTTAGCCTTCTTTTTGCAATTTTCTTCTTTCTTCCTCTCTTTTACGTCATAACAACCTGGATATCAAAATTATATAAATATTTTTTATCAATAACAAACAACGAAAATTCAACAATAAAAATTCATAAAATTCAAAATTGTGAATGGTGCTTTATTTCACAACAAACGAAAAATGATCTTAAAATGAAAAAATTTAATAAAAATGAGAATAGAAATAATATTAGTATCAGTAAAAACAATAGGAGATTAAGAGGAGGAATAATTGTTGAAACAAATGAAAGAGGAATGAAAATAGCAGGTAAGAGTAAAATTTCAGAAATGTTTGTTTAAAATTCTGATTATTAAAATTTATCAGAATTATGAGATGTTTAGTAAAAATTCTGGTTTTCCAAAAATGTTTAGTAAATATTCTGATTATTTCAGAAATGTTTAGTAAAAATTCTGATTTTTCGGAAATGTTTATCAAAAATTCTGTTTTTCCGGAAATGTTTATTTAAAATTCTGGTTATTGATGTTTATCCTCAATTTTGAAATGTTCAGTAAACCTTCTGATTTTTCCAGAAATGTTTATCAAAAATTCTGGTTTTCCCGAAATGTTTAGTAAATATTCTGATTATTTCAGAAATGTTCTTTTAAAATTCTGATTATTCTGATGATCCCGAAATGTTTATTTAAATCTTCGGAATTCTGAATTTTGATGTTTTTAAAATTATGAATGTTCGCTTAAAGTTCTGATTTTTACTAAACATTTCTGAATAGTTAGAGTCATTTTGGCGTATGGGCGCGCCTTTAAAAACAAAATATTTTAATTTAACACCGGTCCTTTAACTAAAATTTTTCTAATATATTTTTAGGAATCAGACCAAACATAGAAAACCCTTTATCTTTTAACAACAATATTATTGAACCATCCAACAATAACCGTTCCTTTTGTTCCGGTGTTTCAAGTTTTGTTGCAAAATTAAAATATGATCCAAGGGAAGAAGAATATGAAGAATATGGGGATATTATTAAGCTATGAATTTTTTCTAAAAAATTATTTTTCTTTATATTATTTGTATATTTTTAAGCAAATTACTAACAAAATTTCTAGCTTTTAAAAAAATTTTTTTTTACTTCAACAAATAAATTTTATAAATTATGTTCTTATTTTCCTTTTTATTTAGTCAGAGAGTTAACAATAAATTAACAAAAATAGAACAACAATTAAAATTTATTCTTCCATTAATAATTTAAAAAAACAAAAATAAAGTCAAATCTCGATAGTTCGTCACCCAGAATCACGTTTCCTTTATTAACTCTGTACGATTCAGTCTCTAATGGTTGTTGTTTGTTTGTGAAGTTATCGAGATTTGAATTGAGATTGATACCCTCATTGATGGGAAAACAAAAACGAGAAGTCGGAGGAAAACGCGAGGTAGAGGTAGGTTGTAGGTAAGGGTTAAACGGGGAAAATGACCTTCACTCCTCGTCCGAACGCTATTAATTAAAAGGTAATTCCCGATCAGGAGCTCACCCCTGTTTCCGGCCAAAAAACTATCGGAAGTTGTTGATTTGTCGAAATTTTCGGAAACCGGGTTGGCTAGACCCTTGCTGAACATGTAAAATTTAAAATTTTCCAATAAATTTCCTTCCTTCAATTAATTAACTGCTACAAGATTCCCATTCTTATTTTTATTATTCTTATCTTGCTGTTCATAAGGTTTAACAATAATAGTTTTAACCACACTTGTTTGATTATTATTTTTAAAAAATTGCTTCAAAACCAATTTTTTAAATTCCTTCGAAGCAAAAAGTAAACAAATTTCTTCAATAAATTGAATAAAAGTATAGCCAAGATTATAGAGAATATTAAATATCACGGCAGTTAAAGTGTTTTCCATAGTTGTGTTTATATATAAACTTGCTTGATATATAGCTATCTGAACAGGGCAGGGAATTAAACTTGAGGTGAAGACGATTAAAATGAGAATTCGGTCTTTTTGTAGTTGTACATCGACTCCTACTTTTTTGTATTCTGTGGAATTTAAAAAAATTTAATTTTTAAAATTTTATATTTTAAAAGTATGGTAGGCGTGTCCGGACAATGCGTCAGTGGACTATCAGTCCGATGTCCCTCTTAATCCCTCCAAATATCCCATAATCTTCCGATATACGTCACTTAAAGACTGCCCACTGACGTTTTGTCGGGAGCCATGGGAGTAGTGGAACTGTGAGGTAGAGTCATGGCCCACTATTATGGCCCACTATTAAAAGTATGGTACCACAGTATGGCCCACAATTAAAAATTAGTGTTATTCAAATGCGATTTTGCGGTATCGGTATTTTCGTTAAAATACCGATACCGCAAAATACCGCGGTATTCTTGATTGAGTCGGTACCGTATTCGGTATCGGTATTTCGGTAAAAATACCGCGGTATTACCGAAAAATACCGCGGTAATACGGTACCGTGAATAACACTATTAAAAATATCCTCCCTTGGTGGCAAACCATCCCTCCGTGGTTCCCATCTTTCATGACTAGGGCGTGTCAAAATATGCACGGAAAATCCCAAAATATGCGCATATATATGCATTGAAAAAGTTTAAATTATGCACCAAAATATGCAAAATATGCATTAAATATACAGCAAAAGTAATGAAAATATGCTTTAAAAATAAATGTTTAAACTTAAAAAATACTAAATTAGCATCTAAATTGCAGTTTAATAGCACTTCTAAAAGATTTTATGAAGTTAAAATTTAGCCCAAAAAAATTTTTTTGAAAAAATTATCGCGAAAATATTTTTCTAAAAAATTTTTTCAACAAATTTTAATTAAATTATTTTTTGCCCAAAAAATTCCAAAATTTTGAAAATTTTGCCATATTTTAACTAAAATTTCTCAAAAAATATCAAAATATGCACAAATTTAGGTAAAAATATGCAAAATTTCCAAAAATATGCATAGATATACAAATAATCATGAAAGTACCGAAATATGCACAAGTATGCTAAAGGAACCCGGTCCCTAATGTTCGTACCGATGTAAAAACACCATTTTTGAGCGTTTCAGCTCATGGCATATCCGCATGCAAAATATGCATTTGCATGTTTTGACACGCCCTATTCATGACAATACAAAAGATAATAAATAAACCTACTATAATCATAAATAAATTTAGTTAAAATAGCCAAATATAAAGGTGCTGATATAAAAATTGCCAAGAGTAAAGCTTGATCATGATCCATCAAAATTTTATTAATGAGAATGCTATAAGTAATTAAACTTTAAACAAATAAATTTCGACAATTAGCTTGATTAATTGTCATCTCTTCTCCCTCCTCGAGTAATTGATCATCATCGAATAGCGAGAGGTTTAAATATACCGTATTTATTCTAATAGAATGGCCTCTCTAATAGAATGGCCCCTCCAATAGAATGGCCCCTTTTGGGGGGTAATGAAAAATAAAATGGCCACCTCTATTTGAATGGCCGTTCCATTAGAATGGCACTTTTAACTACAAAACATATACCTAATAAATTTCTTTATTTTCGTATTACCTGTTAAATAGTACTCTTTGTTAGGATAATCATAATATTTTTGAGCAAATCTGGAGTCATAAAAGGGAGATTAAGAGGGATATAAGGGAGTTAAGAGGATTAGAAGTGATATTACGAAATTAAAACGATTTACTGAAGATAACTACTATCAAGGAATTAAGAGACTTAAGGTTGATATTCATGGATTGGATAGATTCCTACTTCGAACTTTTCGACCCTGAAGGACCGGGGGCTCAGTCCAGAGCTGAACAATAATTACACAGGGTAATTAATCAAGTAATTTTTTCTTCTAAAAAATCCAAACCCTAAAATTCCCGTATTTGCAAAGTCCAGAAGAAATGCAACATATTGTACAGCACTCCAAATAAGTACTACAAGCCATGTTAAACAAATAAAGTATTTAATATTTCTGAAAATTTTTAATGTTATCTCTAAGGTTGGTCCCCGACGGGGGGGGGGGGGGCATGGGAAACAATTTTCGAAAAGGTAGCGCCACGGGGACGGGGACGGGGCAAGACAAGTTATTTTTTTTAATATGTACATCTGCACCAACTATTCCATAAAAATCAGTCCGCAAATATTTTCGATTTAGAATTTTAAAAAGTTTACTTCAATTTCCAATATTTTTGATAGCTTAAAGGAAAGAAAACTGCATGGAAACGATTTATAGCCAGTCCAATAATATGAAAATAAGCAGCATTTAGAAGCACAGTTGCACTGGGAGCTAGAAAGAAATAACTCCAGTAAGACGATGAAAAAGAAAAATATTGATAAATACAGACATAAATTTGACGAATTTGATATATTATATTGGCACAAGACTTGAAAAAATTATTTAAAAAATTAATTTAAGGAAGCTTATTGATAGCATTTAGAGAGCTCTGCCACAGGAGCTCTACCGCTCTACCAGAAAAAATTCTTAGATTCTTCCAATCGTATTTATATCTTCCCTAATTTTGGCCTGTACCCGTATATGCTCGATTACCCTCTCATAGATAAAGAAAGAGTTTATCAAAAGTTTAGACACCGGGTAGGATTCGAACCTGCAACCTCCTGACTATCACTGAACTTTACCGGGGCATCGACTCATCCATGGTAATTATTTGATTAAATGAAGGGGTCGGACATCTGATTTGACCGACCATTGTTTATACTAAGGAGAAAATCGAAAAGAGATCTAAAAGTCGAATAGTCCCAAAATTAAGTTCGGAAACCAATCCCGAGCTTAAACTTCACTGACATAATACACAAAAACAATCCAAAAAACCCCCCACCTTGCTAAAAAGAATAAGAAGAGCCTTTCTTTCCTTTGAAAAATAATATAAAGGACGAATCAGAATTATCAAAAATATTGCACAGATTGAACAGAAAAACCCCGAAAATACATTATAATAATTATTTTGAACATCAACATCAATTATCATTATAATTCTAAAATTTAATTCTTAAAAAGTTAAATTTTTAAATTGGATTATGAGGGTAAATTCTTAGGCTGATTACCGACTTTCGAGTTCCGACTTTTGAGCCATTTCCAATTTCCGACAGTTCCGAGTTCCGACAGTTCCGATTTCCGACAGTTCCGAGTTCCGATTTCCGACCGTTCCGATTTCTGGCACCTTCGACATTTCAGATTCACCTCTGATTCCCTCTCAATTCACCTTCCTTCGCATGTCAGCTCAAGGTCCTAGGGTGTATATTAGAGAGGTTCTCTATTTAAGATACTTTTTTAAATTTGATTAGCTACTGGGTGGGAGAGAAGCCACACTGCAAATTTATGATTTTTAAAAAGTCAATTTTTGAATTAAAATATAGGTAATTATGTTATTAGGCAATTATCTACGTTAAATAAATTCTATTTTTGAAGATTCCATTTTTATATAATTAAAATATTTTTTGCATCAAAGCATAAAAGGAATAAAACACCATTTTCTAGCAACATTTAGAAAATTAATTTTGAATAACCCAAAATTATCTTCCCTCTAAAATTAATCTTTATCTAGATAATAAAACACATCTCTTATATATACATATTTAATTATACTATATTGTCTTATATATAGTTAAATAGTTAAGGTGGACTATTTAAATGTCAAATAATACTTTTAAAAATATTAAAGGTTTTTTGGTATTTAATCAAAAAAATTTCTTATTGGCCTCCAATTTTCGAAATTTCCGTCTGCGCGCGGAGAATTTAATGAAAAGTCTATGTACATGTCCAATGGAACCATAACTCTGGATGAGTAGAGCTTACTATTTCCACCGATTTTAGAGTAGAAAAAGAATTAAATTTAAATTACTTAATGCCTTTGGTTGTAGTCTGGACAGAGCCAAAGAACTATTGGGAAGAGAAATTTTGTGGGTGTAATGAATTTTTTAAATTTAATTTTTTTGAGACTTTTCCCACCATGTAAAAAAATTTTCTCACCATGTACTTTTCCATATAATCATTTTTTCACACTATGTAATAAATTAAACATTTTGTACTTTAATTTAATATTTCTCGATGAGAATCATATCTTAACGTATGTAGTGTTAGATTAAATGAGTGGGTGTAATAAATGGGTACAGGCCAAAACGGCGCGCGGCCATAACGGCGCAAAGAAATAACTTGCTGGAAATGCCTGGCCCTTAACAATTTTGATACCGATCTACATACTTAGCTCGATGAGAGGAGGACTCGTTTGATACTAAATTTGATAGGATTAGTTGATAGGATAGTAGAGCCTCGCGCCGTTTTGGGTGCTTGAAATAGGTACTTATAAAGGGACTTTTTGGTTAAAACATCAAAAGTCCACCTTAAAATTTTCAAAATTTCAACGCCTACGGCGTTGATAATGAAAGCAATTTGGCTCATTGATCTCCAATTTTCTAAATTTTCGCCTGTGCGCGGAGAAAGACTCGGCTCTCGTCTCGGCTCTTGTCCAGATTAATTGTTATATAACACACTATAATTAAAGATGATGAAATAAAAAAAAGAACTTAGAGAGATTAAAATAGAATTTTGAAATTTTAATATTTACTTAAATTTTATATTAAATTTATTTCCAAAAATTTATAAAGAAACACATCCGGGTAAGGCAGATAAAAATTAAAATGGGGAGGGGGAGTAGGGGGGGGGGTGGGTTATTAAAGAAGGGAGTTACCCTCTTAAAATAATTATTGAATTGAATAGATAAAGAACATTTTTTTAATTTTTAAATAAAAATGATATCATTTTCTTCCCAATTCCTGTCTAAAATTTATTATTTAAATGGGCTACTCACCCCAAAAAATTAAATCAAAAATTAAAAATCATTCAAAAAATGTTGACTAAAAATAAATTTTCCTTCCCTCTAATTTTATTTTTTTCCATTTATTTATTTTTCTGTTTAAATTGGAATTTTGTTGAATCGAAAAATTTGGAAAGCCGAAAACCTGAAATTTCAAAAATTAAAAAAATTTTAACCAAAAGAGGAAGAAAATTTAATTTTAATAAAACTGACAAGTTAACTTCAAGGAAATTAAATGGGGAATTTTTTGTTGATTTTGCTTTGGTTGGTTACTATGAGGATATTGAGTTCAGTGGATATGAGATTTTGTATTACTTAGATTTTTGTTATGACGAAGAAAAATATTTTAAAAATTATTGCAATTTGGATCAGATGAGTACACCAATTAATGCTATGTTTGATGTAAGTCAATCTACCTTTTTATCTCATTGTAAGCATTCGGGGTGAAATTATAGTTGCACCTCGAATCCTTGGGGGGTTGGGTTTCAATTTTTTCGGGGCGGGGCTTCAGTGTCCCTCACTGAATGAGGGACACTGAAGGGGGAGCTTTCAAGTATTCCAATATTCGCCATTTGCCAGTAATTTGGCACCAACACGCCTATTCCAAATTATATGGAAAATTGCCAGATAAATGGAAATTGCCAGAATGTGCTCAAGCCGTAATTTTACATCAAAAATTAATCAATCACCATATTTATTGGAATATCCCCTGATCTCTCTATATAACTTTTATTCGATGACTATAGTCGACCTTATATTGGAACTAGTATATTGGAACCTCGAATGCTTGAAGGGTTGGGGTTCAATTTTTCGGGGCGGGGCTCGGTGGATGTACTTCGAATTTCATTATAGATATACCTAATACTAGACTTTAAATCCTTAAATCTAACCACTGAATGGGCGAGCTTTCGATATTCCAATATGCACCATTTGCCAGTAATCTTGCGCCAACACGTTTTCAAATTCCAATTTCCGGAAATTGCCAGAATGGACTCAAGCCCTAATTTTGCATAAAAATGATTGAAATAGACTTTTCTGGCGCGACTAATCAACACATTTAAATATCCCCTGATCTCTCGATATAACCTTTACTCGATGCCGATAGGGGCGTACAAAGATATTCGACCTTATATTGGACTAGTGCCGTTCGTAACAGTATTGTTTGCTCGTAAGGCCGGCTTCCTCCGCAGTCTCATAAACTTCTTCCGGACTTATGGGGGAGGGAGGGGGAATGGAACTATGCCCTTTATATTTATACAAATTAAGCCTCAAAGCTTGGATAAAATTGTTATTTTTGTTGATCAACTCGTTGACAGTAAAGGAGAAACACTTATAAATGTTGGAAATAATACTGAATTCTATCGCGATTACTTAGACTTGGCTATAAAAGGAAGTTCTAAAAATATTCAAAAAATCGCAAAGGCTGTGGATGCTTTAATTGATGATAAAAAATATTTTTATTATCTAAATGGAAAATGTAGAGATATTAAATCTGAAGGAAATTCAATTGGTTTAAAATTAAAAAATTCTAATACTACACTTAGTGTTCCTCGAAAGAATATAGCAGAGGATGGTGTAAGTAAATAAATATTAGTCAAAAATTTAAGCGTCAGGGGAAGATCAGTATCAGTTTCAATTCGTGCCCTCCCTCGCAATCGTATATGGAAAAGTATGAGTAAAAATTTTAAAAAATGTTAGGAAGGTACCAAAAATTTGTGTCAATTAGCGGGAAGGTGCAAATTAGAGTTGGGGTTATCGAGTCGGCCCGACGTTCGAGTCATTTTTTTCGAGCCTAATTTTTATCGGGCCGCCCGACCGAGTCATTTTTTGGGCCTCATTTTTTTCGAGTCGGGCCGACGTTCGAGTCATTTTTTCGGGTCTCAATTTCATCGGGTCGGCTCTACCGAGTCTTTTTTGGCTTCATATTTTTTCAGGCCGCCCCGACCGAGTCTTTTTCGGGCCAAAATTCAATGCCCGACTCGATCTTTCGGACCGGGCCGGATCGGGCCCCCAATTCTAATGCCAAAGGATCGCATGTTCTATTCTTACCAGTGTCTCCGCTTTAAATTAACTGAAATACACACCTATTCAAAAATCAAGAAAATATTCTTTAAAAATTTTGGATTTTTCAAGTCTGAAAATAAATGTATACTTGGACTGGTAACTAGTGAAGAAAAACAATTAGAATTTTCAACACAACATTTGAATAATTATTGTGTTTTATTTGATACTTTTATGAATCAAATAGCTTTTGCACCTAAGGTGGTAAAGCCGGAAGATATGGAAATGATTCTATGTTAGTAAAGAACAGGAAATTTAAAGAGGCTAAAAAGAAAGTTTTTAAATTGGAAAAAGATAAAGATAAAAAATATTTTTTCATTATAAATTTTAAAAAAGTATAAAGAAGCATTCAAGGATATACCTTATTTTCTTGAAAAATTATTCTGGACAATTATAGATAGGTATTGTAAGTAACAGACTCTTAAGGAAGAGAGGCATTTAAAACGCTCACTAGGTGGGGGGGGGGGGGGGGGGGTTAAGATTAAAAGAGAGATGAAAGCAGCGCCCGGTAGCTCAGTTGGTAGAGCACCTGTACGTGGTGAGCGAAAGCGCATGCCATAACTGCCAGGAGGTCGCATGATCGAAGACTGCCCGGGATTGAACTTTTACCTCGCTCTTACTGTATTTTAACGCCAAAATGTGTAAATATTTAATCGAGAGACCCTTTCTTATCTTCCAATTTCCGACTCCTTCGGTTATTCCTACCCATTCCTATCCATGTCTAATATCCTATTTTGGATCACTTTTTTATTCTAAGCTATTATGTATAGTTGGAAAAATACCCTGTAAGCTTGAAAAAAATCCCCCCCCCCCCAGCAAAAGGATTTTACTTTTATAATCTTCGAAACGCTACATCTTTAACGTTACATAATGGTTATAATAAAATATTTTGAGTAAAAAAATAAGCAGTATAAGCTAGCAACATTTTTAAAAACAATTTTAGCTTAACCCAAAATTATCTTCCCTCTAAAATTGTCTGTTTATCTAAAAATTGTTTATACAAAAAATAATTAAAACTTAGTCTAATTTATAGGTATAAGTTGGACTATTTAAATGTCAAATATCGTTTAAAATATAAATTTACTTAAAATATTTTTTTATTTTAATTTGTTTTTATGACTTAGCTTTATTTATTACTATTTTTTTCAATTATTTTTTATTGTCAAATTTTTTTACGTAAAAAAATTCAAAAAAAAATACGTATTCATTTTAATTTGCAAAACAAAAAGAGATAAAAAAATTCTTAATGGGGTTTTGTTTTTAAAAATAAATTTTAAGAAATCAAGTTTAAAAATAAATAGAGCTGAACCAGGGGGCGCGCTATGGCGTTTGGCGTTAGTGTCCATTTTTGCTCGATTTTGCGTTTGGCGTGTTTTAAGAATTTGAAAAATTGGCGTTTGGCGCGCCACGCGAAAATTTTGGCGTATAGCCCTGAGCTGAACCACATCTTAAGATAAAGTTTAAAAATAGTAAGACATCCCTAGTATTTACGGCATCTAAAAGGATATGCCGTTAAAGTGTATGTATAGTAAAAAGGATATCTTACAAGTGAGGTCCGGCTGCAGAATGGGGTGCACTACAGGGTGGAATAATTTTGGATTTTAAAAAGCGGAAAACGGAAGGCGGAAGAGAAGGAAGAGATTTAAAAAACGGAAGATGAAAGACGGAAGCAGAAGACCCAAAAAGGCGGAATTCGGCGTAAGACGGAAGCAATTAAAATGCCACTTAACTTAAACTTCGGTCTTTGACAAGCCTCACATACGGCCAGATTTATTTAAAAAATGTATCTTAAATTTAGAAAATGAAGTATTGCGTGTACTAAAAATTTTATAAGTTGTACTTATAGATTGCAAATTAATAAATTATTAAGGAGAATAAATTTAAAAAAATTAATAATAATTTTTAAATTAATGTGTTTTGAGCTTAAAAGGGAATAAAAATATTTTAAATCAGTATTTGGAAATTAAAAAATAAATCTCATTGTCAGATTATAATTTTCAAACTTGGTAGATTCGGGAAAGGAAACTGAACAAAATTGGACAGGACGAAAAAAAACAAGCTCCGTTTCTTTTCAAATATTTCGACTTATGCCTCTGAGATTATTGATATCTGAAAGTATTTGAAAAAATTTGGTTTTTTCCAAAAGTGGTCAAACAAATATTTGTCAAATATAATCAAATAAAATCTGATCAAAAAATTTTATGATCAAATTTGGTCTGTATTGTTTGGTATTTGATTTATCCGATCTCTAATAATTATCAAATATTGGCATAAAATTGTAAGGATGATTCACCCAGCAGCATTTAAAACGCTTAGGCGGGGGTTAAACGATCTAAAAAGGAAAAAGAGAAAGGAATAGTCGATGCCCCGGTAGCTCAGAGGTAGAGCTCCTGTATATGGTGAGCGAAAGTGCCTAGCAACAACTTGCAGGTGGTCACAGGTTCGAATCCTGCCCGGTGGCTAAACTTTTGCAAACTCTTTCTGAATCATGCTCTTGAAATATACATATTTATGGATCCATGTGGAAGTCCAAAACTAAGTAAGGCTCTTTTATCTAATAATAAATTCAAAAATTATTAAATTTTTGCAAAAACACATAAAAAACAAAAACACAAAAACACATAAAACACATCTTAAGATAAAGTTTAAAAATCGTAAGATATCCCTAGTATTTACGACACCTAAAGGATATGCCGTTAAAGTGTATGTATAGTAAAAAGGATATCTTACAAGTGAGGTCCGGCTGCATAATGGGGTGCACTACAGGGTGGAATAATTTTGGATTTTAAAAAGCGGAAAACGGAAGGCGGAAGCGAAGGAAGAGATTTAAAAAACGGAGGTGGAAGATGGAAGCGGAAGACCCAAAAAGACGGAATTCGGCGAAAGGCGGAAGAAAATTTATTCAATTAAAATGCCACTTAACTTAAGTCTTTACAAGCACTTCTTAAGGCCAGATTTATTTTAAAAATGTATCTTAAATTTAGAATATGAAGTATTGCGTGTAATAAAAATTTTATAAATTGTACTTATAAATGTAAATTAATAAATTATTAAAGAGAATAAATTTAAAAAATTAATAATAATTTTTAAATTAATTTTTTTTAAAATAAAATATTTTTTAAATCAGTATTTAAAAATAAAAAATAATTTTTCATCGTCCGATTATAATTTACCAACTAGATTAGGGAAGCTAAACGGAACAAAATTGGACAGAACGAAAGAACAACCTTGGCTATGTCTCTGTTTCATTTCAAATATTGTAAAGCATATAGCTATTTAATTCCTAAGGCTATGCAGTAGGTGGCATGGTGTAACGGCTAACACACCAGTCCATCTACTGAAGATGCTGGTTCGCTCCCAGCCGCTGAATAACCTTTTGCACTGGCTAAATGAGAGAAAAATAGCTTTAGAACTGCTTTATTATAATGGCATCGACTCATGCTATTGAGACAGATTTTCGGATCCTTCTATGTTAGATCAGTGTGAAAGTCCAATAATTAATGCTGATGAAAGTACAGCTTTTTTATCAGATAAAAAATCCAAAAACTATTAAATTTTGCAGAAATAATTTCGAAAATTAGTTTGAATTTTTTTTTGCATTTTGTGTTTTGCATTCTGAATTCCTCTAATGATTCTAAATAAAAATAAAAATTTAATTTTTCTTTTACCCCTCTAAATTTAGATTTCCAATATTATTTTTTTAAATAAAAATTTATTTGTACAACGATAAACCTCTAGACTTTATCCAAATTTATTTTTGCTAATTTTTTTTTTACCAAATTTTACTCTGAAATAATAATTTTTATTTAGCAATCTGTAGTTTGTAAATTAGCAAAAATCAAAACACATTTTACTCTTAATTTAGAGTTTTATTTAAAATACTTCTAAACATTTACCAATTTCATTCTAATAACATTGAATTAAATTAATAAGTAAGGACGGCCAAAATATGCGCATATATATGCACCGAAAAAGCCCAAAATATGCACTGAAATATGAAAAAATAGCTAAACTATGCTTTAAAAATCAAAATTTTAAGTTAAAAACACTTATTTATCCTTTAATTTTACATTTAAGAGCACTTCGAAAGGATTAAATGGAGCTAAAATTTATGCAAAAAATTTTTTTTTTAATTTTTCCCAAAAAAATTACACAGATATTTTTTCAAACAATTTTTATAAAAAATTTTTAACCAAAAATTTCAAAATTTTAACAAATTTTCATAGAAAATTTTCGAAAAAATGCCCAAATATGCAAAATTTGCCATAATATGCACAAAATCGCTGAAATATGCAAAAATATGCATTAAGAACCGGGTCCTAAAGTGCTCGGACCTGTGTAAAAACACCATTTTTGTGCTTCCCACCTCAATGCATATCCGCATACAAAACGTGCATTTGCATGTTTTGGCTATCTCTATTAATAAATAATTGTTTAATAATAATTTTGGATTTTTTATCTTTAAGAAATTTAAATAAAATTTTCAGAATTTTCAGAAAATTTAATTAAATGGCTTCTTCAAAAAA